CCGGCCTCCAGACCCATTTTTTCAGCGAACACTCGACTTCGTAGCCTAAACAACGCATTATACGATTTCGGTTGCAATCCGTTACGGAAATGAAAACTCGCGAACTCACTTGAGTTCGAATCAGACTCTAAAGTTCAGTAGCAAAAACTCACAATGGATTCAATTGTCGGGCATGAAGTTTCATACAATAATGATTTGACTGATTTGGATGTCACAGTGGTTACGGCATCCACACACTTCTTGTCACCATTTATCATTGTATTCTTCCTGGCTAATGTCGGTTACGATAGCAAGCCAATCATTATACCATGTTTGGTTCGCAGTTTGTCGGTAGCTTGCGGCCCATCTGTTAATCCGACAATTCGTCTGTGATGCCATCAAACCATGAAGCTGTCGACTTGCCAGTCGATCTTTTCTGGGATGGATTCGGCACACAACGAATCAACAGGCTATCAGCTGCTTGTCGTCCCGTCGCAGTGCATGGCCGTAAAGCGACTGCTTCAGTTTTTCACATTCGACAGAGGTAGAGTGGATATTCTTCGATGCCGGACAAACTCCATTTGTACTTGTTCTAACGATAATTCTTTCAGTGACTTTCAGAGCCTCCCAAAGGAGAATAATTCCCGTTTAATTTCTGACCCCCGATAAAGCGCCTATTTGTGCAGTGGCGCCGCTCCTCTGGCCTGTATTGTCTCTGTTCACCAAATTTTGTGAATGATGTTCGACAACACCTGCAATCCCGTTTCAGGCATATGTTTTAACAGCTCCATATGAATTTCATCTGGTCCAACTGCTTTACCATTTTGCCCTTTTTCGAGCATTAAGAGTCTCTTCGCTGGCTGGTAATAATCAGACGTCCTACTTCGCTAAAAGCAAAGCATTGAAGCAGCTGGCTCGGTTCGGTTCATAAGTTGGTGGAAATGTTCCGGAAATCGCTCCGCACCTTTAAGTTTAATGAGCATATGCGATCCATCGTTCGAACTAACGAAACACAGGCTGCAATTATTTCTCCCGCTGTATTGCCGGATTGAAGCAAATGCTCGTCTAATGTTGTTTGATGTGAACCGGTTCTCCATAACGGCAGCTCGTTTTAGCCACAATGCGTTCCTTTCTTTAGTCAGATCGCATTTCAGTTCGATTTCGTTGTCTTTCGCAAATACTTTATTTCCTGCAATTCTGGATCTCTTCTGTTCTTTCATCAGATTCTCAGTTCTTATTTCCACCGATTGACAGGCACGTTATCTCTGGAGCATTGGTATGCTTTCGCTAGCGACAGTCAATAGGCACTTGCTGAAATCAGCGTACAACAAAAGCAAATGCTCTTCAAGTGTCTGAGAATTTTCTTCTGACATTTGGATTTTCCTCTAACGATGCCTTGTTAAGCCTTGGCATCTCTCCAACATTTTGGCAGTAACATGTGGTGCCATCGTTAAGACCACTATGACATGATCGGGCAGAGAGGTGCATCTTTAGAAGCTTTTGGAGTCTTACTGGTCTTACTTTTCTAATCTTATGATATGCCTCCAACAGTCACTTATGAGAATGTATTCCAATTGTCGTTGTAATTTCTTTCACCCACGCTCTTTCCGCTGCTCAATAGACAAATGCCGCGGGCCTTGTCATATTGGTCTTTTCAAGCGTTTATTTCGCTTCAGGATCGTCGCAGTTACTAGGCTGAATCTTTCGCCGAGGTTGAGGAGCATCGATCGATTTTCTGTGGTCGGTTTTGCTAACAGGATTTACTTTCCCAGTGCGCCACTCATTTCACCGCTGCCGAACTGTGCACTGGCGTTCATTCTAAAGACTATAAGGTCGCTCGATGGCACCAAGTAATTATTCAAGCCTATAGTAAACTGCGTTTTCTCTATTATTCGTAGGGGCGTGGGCGGTTATGATCCATATCGCTCTGAACGACTTCGAGATCATTATCCAGCACATTCTTGGCCTAATCGGCTCCCATTCTTCTGCAACTCCTTCGCAGTCTGAGCCCACGGCGACTCCGCAACTTACTTTTTTCGGCCTTCGATCTGAATAGTACATAAGATATATGGCCATCAGGATAGCACATTTTACGATTTCATTGTTCTTTAATTGCGTTTCTTGGAGGCATGCGTCAGCGCGTTTTCACTGTTCAAGATTCTGGTAAAGGCAGCTTGCCTGTCATCATCTTTCAAGGACTGAAAGTTCAATGCGACAATATTTAGCTTCTTCCGTAATCGAAGCAAGTCCTGCGATAGCCCTGAAAGGGACATTTAAGCTTGGAGAAATAGACAGCTCACAGTGGCAACACTCGCGCGTCTGGAAATGAAGTGAGTAGCTAGTATCCGGCTATCTACCCCAGGTGTCTACTGGTATCTGATCGTTGGCATCAGATACTTACATCACAATATTCATTCAGGAGGTACAACGTGGAGGCGATTAGAGTCAAACATCCACCCCTCCCCCCAGATACAATAAAAAATTGTCGCAGTAATTCATAAGCATTGCAAATATAGCGACATTAATCCTGGTCTTGTCATCTCGGAGGTAAAAGCGGGCGACGTACAAACGCTAAACGCAGGTATTATCATGGGCGTCCATAGAGAGGCAGCGAGGTATCTGCCTCAAAGCGAACGTCCAATTATGCCGGCATATAAAGCGCTCCTTTAATATTATTTCAACGACCTCGCAGTTGTCTCGTTGTTGATCTTTAACGATATCTCCTTTTACGAGTCAAGAGTGTTAAATATTGTTCAACAGAAGTATCGCAGATACAAGTGAGACATTCGGCATCTTGCAAAAATCCTTATTGACGAGGTTCAAAACACAACAACCTGAGGAACATCACTTAAGAGAGATATTTCTTTAAATAAAAGATCACAACTGCGTGGGTTTCAGCAAAGTGGTCAAAATGCCAAAGTAGGGACTGGCCACACGAACTTTTTCGCAAAGTCACGTGACAGGCAGTCAATGAGAGAGACACGTGTAGAGAGTCAGAAGCAGTGTGGCTGGGGAGTCTATGTTTTGCACCTTGAAATTAAGTCTGTTCAGCCTACTAGACTGGAGAAAGAACCAGAGTACGGGAAAACCTAAAGAGGTTGTTGCCTCCACAACTTAGAAAGACCAGCAGATTATGAAAATGAAAATGAAATGAAATTTGCCATCAGCTACCAATATTACCGCAGAAACAAATCACGTACAACGATTTTGAAGGCCACAGGTAGCAACAGTTTGCATGCAAATTCTGAATATCTTTTTCCCATCTGCTGGAGAAGGGTATGCACAGCTCAAGTCAAACCGGATATAAACATACCCTGATTGAAGGTGTCTGACCAACATGGGCAGCGCAGATGTTACCATCTTGCAATCTGCCGGCTATGTGAACAAATTCCAATCGTAACAAAATTAGCGTTCTGCATAGATGCAGCGAACGGTGGCTGACTACAAACATAACCGCAAGAAAGCGCCAGAGTGGAACAGTGCCAGCTGAAGCAAGTGATGAAAACAATGCAACAGAACAAATCCAGCAGTCGAATAACTCGCTTCAATCTTCCGATATTTCAGACGATCACGAGTCAAAACAGCAGGGTCTAATGGCTTCTCAGATCCTCGAAAGCCTCTTGAAAATCTGGACATCCAAGACAACAACGGTCGACACAAAGGTCCATCTCTACATCGCTGTAACGGTGAAACAGATGGCCTGAATGCTTAAGGCGCGGTTGTCAAAACCGCAAGAGAGGAACGTCGGCTGGAAAGCCTACAACAGCAGTGATTCTGACGCGCGAACAATAGCAAGAATAAGCCAGAAACGAAAATGCTCTCCGGTTAGCCATCGCCAACGGCACCTTGAAACCATCGTCAGCCATTTGAATAGGGAGAAATTCACTGGTATGCCATACGCCCTTTAGTCCCAGCATTTAAACACTGTTGCTATAAGAATCCGGCTGCTACATCACAAAAGTAACCATTCCGCTCCGGAAGCAGAACTGCCTTTATTTGTTTTTCATGTTAAATGCTGACCTCTTGGTCGAAGTCCGCCGCTTCGGCACCCACATGCAAAGATCGCCGGCTTCTGAGTAAATGATTAATGCTGAATCAGTCTGATAACAGGGCCAACCTGCCATTATTATCTCCATATTTATGGAGGTCATCACTGCCCTGAAATTAACAATCATTCCATACGTAGTTTTCCATCTAACCATGATTATGCATCGAAAGCAAGGCTGATGTACGCAGTTCAGCCGTCGTTTAGCCAGTCCTTCGGAAGAACAGCTCTTGTCTTTATGCAGTACAACAACAATGACCTGACCGAGGAAAGGTAAAGGCAGGTTTTTGTGAAAACAGTTTCTCCTTTATCGGCTCAAACACTGAACAAGTAACCAAATGCACTGGAGAAGAGGACAATTCACCTATTTCAGTCTGACTGGAAAGTGCCGTCGCTGATGATGATGGAGCCGAAATAGTTAAACTAATCAACCTCCTCTATCGTTCCTCCTCTCCGTTCCACTTGTAGATCAGCTGTGCAGGACGGATTCAATGGAACTTTCGAACCTCCAGATGTTAAGAACGAAGCTCGTTTTCACCGCTGTGTTGCGCACAAAAGACGCCAGATTACGAATCCCAGTCGTCTTATTCGGCTAGATACATTCAACGTCACGTACTCTCTCCAGAACAAGAACCTCGTCTTCGTCGGGTCAGAACACTACGTCTAAGAATCAAGTTTTGAATAGCGAAAATGCAAGCGCATGCAACAGTGAAACTGCACCGAGTTATAACAGCTATTTAGACTTAAACAGCAGACTTCGTTCCTGAACGCATCTCTTAAAACATGGACTCGATTTTAATAATCTCATAGCATTTCAAGATTTTGCAAATGGCTGGATACGATGTGATAATTATTAATCGACGTATTAGAGTCCTCAGTAGTCGATCACTACTTGCCTTCATCTTCCATCGCCGCATCGCCTTTCGGGTCGCGGAGGAAGATGCGTCAGACAGAGCTTCCATCGTTTCCGATCTTGTGCCAGAGTCTGAGCTTCGGCAGAAGACAACTGGAATCTGGAACAGACTCCTTCCATATACTAGCACTAGACTAATCTTTGCCGTCCCCTGGGCCTTCTGCCGGTCCAATTCGCAAGAAACAGTTGCCTAGCCTTCCTTTCTGGAGGCATTCGCAACACATGGTCAAGCCATCGCAGCTGTGACTTCTCAATCTGGAGAAGCAAAGGCTGCATTTCAAGGCTCTTCCGGATATCACTATTCCGGACCATGTCGAAACGCGTAAGACCAGCGACTCGTCTAAGAAAGCCCATTTCAGCAGCTTGTACCCGGGTTCGAAGTTTTTCC